TCAAGAGCTCTGTAATGTTTAGAACAACTAATAAAAAAATTAAAATAAAATAAAATAAAATTGGCATCTGGGTAGTCTCATATGCAAAGAAGCAGAATCCAGAAATAGAATTGATTATATATATACAGAAAGTGACATAAAACAGCATTGATAYTAAGTATATGGCAGTTAACATTTCCTTAGAAAGCCCCCCACTTTTAAATTAGGGATTGAATCTAGAGGCACTTTACCACTGAGCTACAATCTCAGTCCTTTTTACTTTTTATTTTTTTATTTTAAGATAGGGTCTCACTCAGTTGCTGAGGGTCTCTCTCAATTGCTGAGGCTGACCTCAAACTTGCTATTTTCCTGCCTCAGCCTCCTGAGTCACTGGGTTTATAGGAGTGTGCCACTGCACCCAGCAAAAATATATTTTTATATTGTAATTTTATACTTACAATATAAAAATATATTTTTATATTTGTAAATTTTCATTGAAATCTTTTTTAGCAAATAATGCTTTTGTATACCTGTTTAAAGAAGTGACCCACATTACATTTCTTGATATTTTTTCCTACCACTTGGCCTAATCTTATCCCTATTAATGGCCTTTAGTTTTAAGTATGATGAAACTTTAGTTTTTATATAGATCTATAATTAGATATTTCATTCTTTATTGACGACAAAATCATCAAATTGGTTTGCTAACATATTTTAATGCAGTTCAGTCAGAAAACTTTCAATTCTTTGAACAGCTAMAATTTAAACTTACTAATATTAAATTTACTCTTAAGTATTTAATGTTAGTTTCTATAAAAGCAAACCTTTCAGAGCAATAGCAGGAAATAAGCGAGAAAAAGGTCTAGGCTAGAGTGAAGCTTCTGCAACATTTTGTTATGTTAGTCATTACCTTAATATGAATACACACACACACACACACACGCACACATACACACACACGCATACACACACACGCACACACACACACACACACACACATACATGATGGTGCTGGGGATTGAACCCAGGACCTTGTGCATGTGAGGCAAGTACTCTGCCAACTGAACTATATCCCGAGCCTTAATATGTTGTATTTTGATAAACCACCTTAAGGGTAAAATAGAACAGGGCAGTATATTATACAAAGATATAATGGGTGTTATGCAAAAAAGAAAGGGTTCCATGGAAATAACTTTTGAGATGCTGAGATAAACAGTGAACAAATTTCTTGCCTGTAGAATTCCTCAGAGTCTTTTAAATATGTCAGTGTATACTGTGAAACTCCCAAAGAGAAGATAATCTGTAGCTTTTCCCAAATACTACTTGTCTGGTTTATCAACAGTAGGGACCTGTGTTCCATAGAATGCATTTTGGGAAACCTTGAAAAGGAAAATTAGTACTTTCACTAAAAACTATTGATTTTATTTATGTTACAGTTGTTTAGATTTTTTTGAAGGCTGATGTTATTAAAGTCTCGGTGTGGTATGGTATTTATATCAGCAAGCTTTGTGTTTGATTTTGCCTTTATTCCTAAAAAGATTTTACCTTTGGAGATAAACACTTATACATGTTTTAATTTAAAAGATAAAATTTGAGAAGATACAGAATTCAGCCCAAAGTAGGTGTCCAGGTCCTAAGGAGAGCTTCCATAGGAATACATACTTAAAAAAGAAACTAAAGAAAAACTATTTTTGTATTTTCTCTTATAAATGCTATGGAAGAGAACATTGCATTGTGAGCTATGARATAACTAAACCTTTCAAGCCAAAGATCATAGACCAGGACCCACAGGGTAGATCTGGCACTTTGTTTCACTTATACAGTGATTTTAACCGTTGAATTAGTTCCCAACATTTTAGAATCTTGATGTTTCACATAAAAATATGATTTTATAGCCACTCTTTAAGAAAAAGGACAACATTCTCATAAAAGGTAGCTACTTGCTGGAGCTCAGAAGTGCCTGGTTCCTTCAGGAGTGGTTTCCTCCAGTGTATCACTGCCTGCCTGCTAACAGTGTCCTGGTGTCATGGTGCATTTATTCTACAGACTTTGAGCTTGTGTTGTAAGGACATAGCATGGCCAAAGGGTATGTGCCTCCCAAATGATATAGCAGCACCTCTTCCTAAAGTCACCTTTATAAACAAATGTGATTGGGTTGCTCCAAGAAGGATTGTTRGGATTCTGTTAGCTTCATTTAGGGGACTCTTCACTATTTCTGCATGATATCACTACTTGTTCCCAGAATGCTGAGTCTTTACTGTGTAGAGTAGGACCTCTTTGACAACACACTAGATGAGTCACTTCAAACATATACACATACAGAGCTGTCCCTATGTATATAAAAGTTGTATGGCTGAGGGAAATTTATATTGAATTAGGACAAAGTTCTAACTTTATTCATTCTCAAAAATGATTATTGAAGAAAAAATATAATTGAAAAGCAGTTCTTTTATTTATACTTAGCCTTTTCATAGAATATTTGTATCAGCTTATGAAGTATATGATATTATAATACAGAAATAGACATAAAAATCAGGATCATGCTGGGAATGTAGGTCAGTGGTAGAGCTCTTGTCTGGCCTGTCCAAGGCCTTGGGTTCAATTCCCAGAATCAGCAAAAATAAAATAAAAATCAGGATCAGAAAGTATATCCACAGAGTAAGTCCAGATGAGCCTTTTGTATCTGGCCCTGAGGTCTAAAGCTATGGAGAAATATGCCTTATGAAAAAAAATTTCTTTTTCAGAGAGAAACCCCAGTGTAAGTGGAACTTCTTAAGTCTTAAGTACTTTTTAAGTACCACATTGTTACTTTTGCATAGTGCGTGTATAGAGGGTGCTCATGTTGGCCTGTGCTGACATTTTTCTAGTTTTGTAGAAGTGCCAGCTTTTGAGCAACAGTTTTCTGGTAGCAGCTGGGAAATACAAGTTTTGTGCCTATGGTTAATAAGCACTGTGTCCTGAGCCCTCTTGCTGTATTTTTATCTAATCTGTAATACCAAGAATATGGTAGAGGAAAAGGTTGTGTGTGATGTGATGAAGTGAGGGTGGAGGGAGGGAGTGTKGGGGCAGAAAAGGCAGTGATGGAGCTCTCAGCAGGAAGGTGTGAGATCTTCTGCAGGGTTCCTTTGAACAGTGGTAACCTACTGCTATTACAAAAGAGTTTGGTTTGATTAATGAAAACAGATCACTATGGATACCCCACAGCAACTGTTTGTTTGTTTGTTTGTTTTTGCTGTGGGGTGGGATGTAATGGGGACTGAACTCAGGGATGCTCAACCATTGAGTCATATCCCCAGCCCTATTTTTTATTTTATTTAGAGACAGGGTCTCACTGAATTGCTTTGCAGCTTTGCTTTTGCTGAGGCTGGCTTTGAACTCACCATCCTCCTGTCTTAGCCTCCTCAGCTTCTGGGATTAGGGCGTGCATCACCATGCCTGGCTGTTTTCATTTTCCAAACAAAGTGATCCATGACCAGCTGAGTACAGTGGTGTGTTCTTACAGTCCCAGCTACTTGGGAGGCTAAGGCAGTAGGATCACTTGAGTCYACAAGTTCAAAATCAGCCTGGGCAACTTATCAAGACTTTGTCTCAAAAAAAGGCAGGGGGAGGGGGGTAGTCCATGACAAATCTCAATTAGCATAAGGTAATTGGAATCACCTAACTGGGTCCCGAAGTTGCTTAACTGCTTTATTAAGAATAAGACTAGAAAAAGAGAGGATTCTTTGTAGAAAAAGATAACACTCTTTTCCTTTAATCTGTGATATTGGAATTGTTTTTGTAGTACCAGGAAATTATCATGTTTTTAATTAAAAATTAGTAATGGGTCCTTATGAAGACATTTAAAAGTGATGCTTTATAATGCTGGTGAATCTGCCTTTGTGGTAAATATCAAGGGAATGATGATTTAGCCAAACACCAAATTTTACAAGGAAAGAGCTGGATTTTTTTTTTCTTTTCATTTCATGCAATAAAGATGGAACAAATGTTTGAATGTTAAGAAAATTGCAGACAGGTCCAGGTTTTCAGTCTAAGGRAGAAATTAAGCTTTTGTGGCTTCTGACTGACTGGTAAGGGCAAAAGTGTCATAAAAAGCAAAATATTGGGTGAGGGTGAATTGACTAGCTTCTTAAGGGATGCATAGACTGTTTCTAAAGAGCAATGCCAGTTTTAGAGTGAATACAAGGCATTTTGAAAGTGCAATTGGCAAGCTGAGCACAGTGGTGCACACCTGTTATCCCAGCTAGATTGGATCACAAATTTGAGGCAACTTAGTGAGACCCTATCTCAAAATAAAAATAGCTGGGTGTGTATCTCATTGGTAGAACTCTTGCCTAGGGTGTGCAAGGTCCTGGGTTCATTCCCCAGAACAAAAAAAAGAAAAAAAAAAAAAGAAAGAAAAAGAAAAAAGAAAGAAAAGAACTGTATAAATCTTGTTTAGCAAAATCAAGTAAATTAATCAAAATTGGATGTCACTCTACATGCTTCATGTCTGATATCTCTGATAATTCCTTGCTAACTTGATGAGCATTAATCTAAGTTAAATCATGTTGTTAAAAGATAAGTACTTTAGATTTGGGAGGTTGATAAGAATTAAAAAGCCAGACATAGAGATAATACTTAGAAAATATTTCTATTACTCCTGTTCCCTTCCTTTTAAATGGGCTTTAAAAAGCTAAATGGTGTACTGTGACAGGTTGTAAAGAGACTATGATATGTTAAAATGAATCTGGTTCAAAACCCAAAACCTGCCAAAATGCTGCCTTTAAAAACCAAAAAAAAAAAAAAAAAAAAAGTCACCCATGGTTTTCTGAAGGTTTCCTGGTATGTGTCTGGAATGTTGAATAACTTCCCCAAGCTTTCTACATAGTCACTTCCTGCAAATTACCTTAACTAATTAACTGGATTTTGTTTGGGTCCTGTATGTTGTAAAATAAACAGATACGGGTTTGTCTTTAGTCATCTTATTTTCATTTGGGGTTGATGGAAATGAAGTAAGGACCAAGTAAACGACTTTTTTTCAGGTGCAAATTCGACCATGGAACCTAAGTGACAGTGACTTTGTAATGGATGGTTCTCAGCCTTTGGACCCCAGAAAAACTATCTTTGTTGGGGGAGTTCCACGACCCCTTCGAGCTGGTGAGTGGAAATAGTAACACCACAACAACAAAACCAACAACAAAATCCCCAATGTAATTTCATCCTAACAATGTTCTAGGTTTCCAGTCAGCTCCACACAATCTCCAAGAGAAGGCYGTCATGTTGTTTTTCACTGAGCTGATTTTTTCACAATTATTTTCTCCCCAAATTCTTTATTTTTTTTTATGGTGCAAGGGTGAATTTCATTAAACCATCATGTTTCCTATTTAACTATGTTTAAAATATATATGTATAAAAATACATATATATGTATATATTTGCAGGGTAGCATTCTTATGACAGTTTGCATTGCTATGTGTGACAGAAAAAGAAGTCACCCATCAGAAATCTGTCCAGTGTGTCTGTGTGCCTACTCAGTGATGAGCCAGACCACTGCTGGAAATAATATTCCTGAGAATCAAACTGAATTCTTCCCAAGTGAGATAGATTCCTATTTTTGCTCATGGACTACAAGAAATGAATTATGGACTTTGGCATTTTTGTTATAACTTTATAAAAGCYTCCCTATTTTTTTTAATTGTTTCTAATGATGTGATAAACTGTGCTGCTGAGATTGAGCAGAATCATAATTGCCTAAGAGCTTGAAGTGATGTGAACTGAAGACTTTTTTTTTTATTAAATCCAAAGACAAATCTAAGTAGCTGTGCATCAGCCTCCTGATAATCAATATTATTGCCAGTGGGATATAATAAATTTATTTCTAAGACTAAGTTTTTAGAGCACTTAGAATAAATGAATTAAAAAAAAAACAAGCCAAAAATACAAGGTTCCATTGCCCCTACAGTTGCAGAAACACATTATCTCTGTGTTATTTGTAAGTAAGTAGACTTAGTTCTACCTAAAATATAAAACAAAAAGCAAATCATTAAAATTAAGTCATGAAAACAGAAATGTAAAAGATAACCTATAGTATTTGGTTCTATGACTTTGATGACTAATTTGAAAGTTTCTGAACATTTGCAACATAATTATTCAAATTTCAATTCCAGTTCACACCTAAAAGATAACTTTAGACCTATGTAAAGATATATTCATAATTCCATTTTGAAGGACTTTAAAGTTATAATTATGACTCTAGAGTTTATGATTTTACACTATTTCAGAAAGTCAAATAATTGTTGAGTCTTACCTCATTCTAATGGAAAACTGTGCCAAAACAAAGRAAGCAAAGCAGCAAAGATGGCCCCTCTTTATCTGCTATAAAGAATATCGTCTAGGAAGAACAAGCTCACTTGGGAATTGCAGTCCTTWGTTTCTAACTTAAATGTGCACTTTAAAAAAAAAATTATGAATGGTCGTGTTGTGGAATATTCCTGACTTTTTCTAATGGATGTTATATTTAGAAATGGAGAGGAATAAAATATTTTTTGGTATTCTTTTAAATGCATATGTAATCTACAAATGGACTTTCATTGCTAATATTCTTGGTATTCCTTTTTGCAACTAACTACAGGTATAAATTTAATATTCTAGTCCCTCTCCTTCTTTCTTAGATGGGAATCTGAAAAAAATATTCTGAAAGAAAAAGACCTACAATTACAAGTTAACAAAACGGAATTTAACTCCTACATCTATGTTTAAGTCACAGAAACTCCAGTTTATAAACTAAATTCCCTTTTATATTACTCATCCGTTATTCGGTCTGTTTGAATGATTTGGAAGGGTAGATATATCATTTTTCCTCCATAAATCCTATGAAGATGCATTTTCACATTTGCTCTATATCATTTTTCCTCCATAAATCCTATGAAGATGCATTTTTCACATTTGCTGTACTATCTCTCTGTCACCAAGACACAAAATTATATTCTTTAACAAGATGCTACAAGTTCTAGGACTAGACAAGAAATATATTTAGTTACCTAGTCAGACAGGGGATTTGTGGGTTTTGCCTAGAGAAAAGTATACCTTAAATTCTGTAAGTCTTGAGGTTCTCTTTTTTTWAAAACTAGATTTTTTTTGCCATAAAACTATTTTGCTTTCGTAGTTATTTGGGTATAATCTAAAAATCACTTAATCTAGTGGAAATGTTCCCCCCTTGCCAAAAAATCCCATAAATGCAGCAACTTTCCAAGTGGCTAGATCATCTATATTAGTGTCCTATATTTTACTCTGTCTCCCAGAATTTCCAGATTAGAAGCCATGTGATCTAAACAAAAGAGTTATTATCTGTAGCTTTTATTCATGTGCATAGAGTTATGTTTCTTTGCAACACACTGAGTTTTGTGGACTCTTGGAATAGAAGATTATTTTTAAAGGAATTCAATTTGACTTTGCTATAAAATCTTAAATCAGTTACAATGTAGTTGACTTGAACAATAAACATTTATTAAACATCCACTGACAAACAAGCAAGTTGCATGTCATACCAAACTGAATGAACATCCCATCATCATGTTAAACAGGTCATCATACTTACAAAGTCAAAGATTTCAGAACAGAATAAACAATAAATGCATCAATAGAATGCTAATTTAGGATTAATGGGAGGCTGATTTATATTCTTAGACATAATGATTCTTAGATCTTGTTTGAAGTACTTCAGTTTATAAACTAAATTACTTCCAAGAGGTATTGTAGTAATAAAATTCTAAAGTCTTAAAACTATTTTAGTCACTAAATCAACGAAACAGATGAGATTTTTTAGATGTTAACATGGATTTTCACTTTATCCTGGCCCCAAAATTGTCCTTTACCAAGTCAGAGTGACTCAAAATGTTATTACTCCAGAGTTATTCCTTTGGATTACGTGAGGATTTTTGTTAGTTTGTTTTTGTTTTTAATCTTTGAAATTTCCCCACTGTAAGTCCAGGAACCTTCATCACTAATAGTTATTCTAAATTAGCCTTTATCCCTCCAAACAGAAACTATAAACAGAAATACAGGAACAAGGCAACCTGTTTCAAGCAGTATTGTCCTGACCGAGTTTGGGTTATATCTTCTGGTCCTTTCACCAGCCCTCCTTTTTAAAATTAAGGTTTTGGGAAAAAAGCACAGGTCTAGAAAAATTAACCAGAAAATGGGAAAATATCAAAGGAAAATCTAGATTTAGATGAGTTTTCTTATCACCTTTGATGAATTTCTCTAGGTCATATAATATATGTTCTTATCATCTCATCTGTCAGTGACTGTAGCAAGCCAAAGATGAAGTATAGTGTTCCTTAGATCTTTATTTCTCTGTATGTATGCCCTATCTCATCTCATCTCCCTGCTGGGAAAGGCTGTACGTAGACCCACCATGCCACCTTGTGGTTAAAATTTTTACATTCTTTGGAGAGTTGGTACAGGGAAATGGTGCTCTACCTGCTGCCACCTGGAAGTAGTGCACATTGCCACTCTCCATTCAAGTAATATGAGCAATGTGTCTTCCTGAATGTCCATGAGAAATAGCCCTGTTGCATATCCACATGGCATTAAGACCTCTCCAAAGGCACACCTCAGCTGGGGGTCATGAGGAGACCATCAGGATAAGGGGAGAATCAAATATTTAGTCCCCACATACTCCCCCAGTTTATTAACATGTGTATTTCTCTGATTCCAGCTTCTTGGCTTAAGCATATGATTTGAGGACTGCTGTAGTGACCAGGCTTTGTGATCCACCCACTCCTGACCTTGATTAGGCTTGAAAAGCCCTTGTTCTTTCTAATCAGAGGCATGTGAGCTGTTCTTTCACTTCATGACTTCCTTCCAACATTTTTTTGGACTAGGCCCTGCAGAACAAATCAATCTTGAAAGATGGCTTATCCGAACCCTTGGAACCTACCATTTGCTTGATCATCCTTGGATCTCCTATCTTTCCTGACTATTATTCTGATAACTGTTTTCTTTCTTTTTTTGCCCTACTAATATTCTTTGATGGATTCTGAAATTTCCTTCTCTAAGCTCTCCTCCCTTACTCTATTATGAGGATAGCTTTTCTGTGGGATGTTTTTTGTTTTGAGGAGCTGGGTCTCATGCATGCTAGACAATCCCTATTCCTAGCGCTGGGAGGTAAAACCTTCTGAGGTAAATATTCAGTGATACATGTCATATATGGGGAGAATATGTAGCATGAATTTTTCTAAGATTATTGATTCCACACATTCTGTATAAACATTACCTAATTCATATGAATTGGGAAGCATCCCAATTTGTGATTTAGGAAAGAGGAGTATTGTAACCACGCTTTTTGTTGTTGTTGTTCTGTGAAGTAGTAGCACGCCAAAATCATCCTGTATCAAATTTCTCAACAGCAGAATTTTTTTTTTTTACCTAGTCCAAAGTTTGGTATGAAATGTCCCAAATAAATTCCAGATTTAACACACTGATTCAATTAGTTGCATTTGTCTGTAGGGCTAAGGACTTTTAATATTAGTATGTGGTTTTGCTCTTCCCTCACCCAGGGCTGCTGTCAAACTTTGTCATATAAGTGACGGATTGAGAAGTATTAGCATAAAGCCAAAGTAAAGCTGGGGGATGAATTGCTTTGTATGGCACAGAAACCAGGCGAGCTTGATGTTAAGCAAAGATTTATGAGTTGAGGGGAAAACAGCCTCTGAACAAAAATAAACATTGGAGCATCAGTCTACTAGGCAGTGTGCCTCGAGCTCTCCTTTATGTTTAATCTTCACRATAATTCCTTGAGATTGTAAGCCGTGGACTTTGCATTTTAGAGATGAGAAAGAGTTCACATGGAATAATCGGTCTAATGTCACAATAAGTGAAAAAGATAAGAGTCATTCTTTAGCTTTCCACACTTCAAATTACRGGTTCTTTGTACAGAAGGAAGCTGCTTTAGCAAGCTGAGATCTGGGATGTTGTCTCAGTAACAGTCACCTTGGTATCAGTTAGATTCAGTCTAGTTAAGCACTCTTTGTTTGACTTGGTTGTTCCTACCATCTGTTTAAAACTATTAACTTCCTAACATCTGATGCAGAATAGAAGCATCTGAGCACGTCTCCTTTTTTTGATGCATTGAACTGTTCTTGTGAACCAATCCAGAAACTGTGGGAAATTTAGAAAGTTCCACTGGTCAAGTTCAATCTTCCTTTGTTTCAGAACTTCATCTTTGTCATCCTGAGGTACCCTGTGCCTCTTTGCCATGTGTGCTGTCCTTATTTCCAAAATGAACAAATGGGGCTTCTAGATTCAGTTTAGAATGTRTTGATATTTCCCTGGGAAATCTTGGGTTCTCTGTCACTCCATTTGGCTCTCAGTGTCTCAGACTGGGTTTAAACTGTAATTAAATGATAAGAAATGACCCTGGGGTAGAACAGACTGGAGGAATTATGTTTTCTTCTCTGGTGAGTGAGGTCCTTTTTCATATTTCTGAAGGATCGGGAGCAAGTCCGAGAAATTATAATTGCGTTCAGATTCAACTTCAGAGGCAGAGTCACAACCCAGAAGAACTTGGGGATGTGGTTTGCTCTACACAGCTGTAGTATTCTTGTTTCCTTCTTTAGTTTATGGCACAAGGAAGCTCATCACAAGAGCTACTGTGTGGATTAAACCCATAGTTGTGTTGCTGCTACCGTGGAAGTTGGTTATGAGATGACTTGAGTTGACTTATGAGTATGGAGCTTTTGGCCCAAAGTATAGTGTGTCCTTGGACATGATTGCCACACCTGCCAATTTCCCATCCCTGTGGTGATCAGACCCTGAGAATACTGTCTAGATGGGAAGGAAAAATTGAAAAGTGGTTTGGAGAGTCCTGACTTCTTCATGGACCCTGCTTGTTGTCACCTCTGTGTGTACTCCAGACCTCTTCATCTGCATGCCCAGTATGATCTGGTACCCTCATATTCTTGGGGTAAATGTTAATAACATGCTCCTGGGTGCTACTCTTTCTCTTCCATCTACAGAAAGTGAGGATTTATTTACAGTGAGAATTCACTGTCACAGACTTAGTGACTTTACTAAAGTCCCATTAACACACATCTTTGGGCTGGGGATGTAGCTTGGTGGTAGAGTGCTTTCCTAGCTTATCCAAGACCCTGGTTCAATTCCCAGTACTTGAGGAAAAAAAGAAGAAGGTACTTCCTTTATCAAGGATTCAGATTTCATGAGCAGGGTTGAGCTCATAAGATAGAGATGAACCCGTAAAGATTTTACTTGACTCTTGATAGGCCATTTTGCTTTCTTTCTGTTTTTCTCTCCACCCTACAACTAGTCTTCTCATGTCTCTTGTCTTCCATCAGAGGGAGACGACTTTCCTATATTAACTAATGATTCTTACTCTAAAGAAGCCTTTAAAATCTAGCTTCTGAAAGTAGCTGTACATTCTGACATTTGTTGGTAACTTTATACCTGCTATTAAAAAGAARAAAAGTCTCAGGTTGGACATTTGTAGGACTTGAGGAAGGTTTGCTCTGCGTTTTCATCAGTTGCATACATTAGTGGATGGATTAAAGTAGCTCTTTTTAAAATGCTGTTTTTATAGCATTAGAAATATTGAAAAAAACATGCTTATAATCCCAGTAGCTTAGGAGACTGAGGCAGGAGGATCGAAAGTTCAAAGCCAGCCTCAGGAAAAGTGAGGCACTAAACAACTCAGTGAGACCCTGTCTCTAAATAATATACAAAATAGGGCTATAGATGTGGCTCAGTGGTCGAGTGCCACTGAGTTCAATCCCTGGTACTCGCCCCCCCCCCAAAAAAAAAGAAGTATTGGAAAAAGGTGTCACTTATTGGAAAATTGCTTTCTCAATAACTAGAAACACTGTTTAGTACTTAAATTATATCCCTCTTGTGTTCGAACCTAGAACGAAGTCAGTCTGCAGGAAGTGCTGAGTAAAGACTTACTAGTCAAATATAAGACCAAATATAATCAGCAGTTGTTTGACTGTTATTTACTTTTTCTTCAAGAGTGATGAGAATATTAGACTTTCTATAGTTAAAATACAGATTAAGGTAGAGAAAGGGAAATTTTCATTATCTTGTCCATAAAACTCTTCCTTTAGTCATTTTGGGTTCTTCTAGTTTTTCAACAAATTATCCTTCCCTTAAGTGAGACATTATTGGCTCATATGTCTGCAGACTTTTTGCTGGCCAAGAGAATGACTGTATATAAACTCATAAATGGAAATGATTTTTTTTTATAATCAGTTTTCGTAAAAGCATAACTGCATGAACATTTCTGCTCCCTTTCAAAAGTACTTAACTGCCAGCAGCATCAGTCATGATGTAATGTTTGGCACATGAAGAAGATTTTCTRGCAGGTAGAGTCACAAATAATGGAATGTTTATGCCTGTGGAAGGTGCCTTCTCTGTCATTGGAGGATCCCTAAGATTCTTTTGGAAACCACTAAGGTATAGAAGGACTTGTGGTTACAGAAACTGTCCTCCTTAACTGGAGTTTCAAGCTTACCACAAATGTGCCTTCTTATCAGAAGCCTTCTTGTGTCCTTCATATTGTGGAAGACACATGTCATTTAGTCCCTTGCCAGCATTCTTTTCCCGGATACTCATGAGGCTTGGGAAGTGTTCCCTCCCTTATTCTATTCCATGGGAAACCCTGTCTTCAGAATATTAGAATTTAATTTCCAAGGCCCATTCCACCAATAAAGGAAATTCACTAATGACTGCAATTGAGAATTTAACCTACTTTGAATTTCTTGGTCTCTGTTATGGGACTAACATTAGCTATATGAGGAAAAGCTTAAGTCATCAGAGATTGTTGGGATGCAGTGTGAATAACCATTGAACTTTGGTATTCAGGGTTTGGGTACAATTCTTGTTGCATCATCCAAATGAATGGGATTCCAGGATCCTTCCCAGGCTTCAATAGAGTYCACTTGGCTCTAATTCAGTGCTCCCTTGACTGATATGATTCAATACTTCTGACTATAATAGGATAATTGGGATGACTTTCTGCTGCTCTATCTTTAGTAGCATTCCCTCTTAGGCTTAATTATTGCTAGCTTTGTTTCTTCCTTGAAAATTGCCTGTTGGTTTCAGGTTATTCTTCCTATTAAAAATAGACACTTAAAAAGTAGTCACCAATATAAGCAGTTTGATATGGAAAGAAATTTCGAAGAAGTAAAAAGATAGCTTTTCTGATATGATGACACAGTTTTTCTTACCATCTCAACAGTCTTGAATTAGAGGAACCAGTAATACTTGGCTCTCCCTCTATTTGTAGAAATCTTGAGGCAGGGCAGTTCTTAAACCGTTCTGCCCTTTAATCTGCTGCAGAACTCTCCCCCCATCCCACCAGGTTATGGGACTTTCCTTCTCCCCAGATACTGATTTTTGTGGAGCTCTCCTGTGGCTTTTGCACAAAGGCTGTAGCCCATTTCATCCTCCATTTTCCCTATCTTCTCCTTTCCAAATACCATATACAGATATTGGAGGGAAATGGGTGTTTGGGTCACTTCCCAAGGGTAGAGCTGAGTCTTTTGGATTTATGCTATGGCCTGAAAAGAAGGAGGTGCTATCCAGTATAAATCCAGTAAACAATTATCTTCAGGCAGTTTAGGATGCAGGTAAGTGTTACATGTCTCTCCATGATACCTGTATGGTGGAGATAACCTTTGGAATGGTCCATTTTCTAAATGTCTTCTCTAAAAGTGTTTTGTAAATATACCAATACAAAGGCAAGAAATGTGGCAAGGAGAGCAGATCAGACCTTTGGACCTATAGCAAGGTACAAGATTGGCATGTTTTTACTCCTCATGTAGCAGTTCAGTGCTTCCTAAAGCTAAGTGCTCAATAAATGTTCATTGCTTCTATTGTCATTATTAGTATTATTATTTAGACTTTTATCAGTTCAAATGAAATATACTCTAAATAAAAATAGAGACTTGCTTTAAATCTGTAAACTTAATGTCTTTAGTTAAAATGAGGAGTTGATTCTTTCTGTATCTTAGTCTTAGTATAGCAGTGTGATATTCACAAGTGCTTTCAGTCTAAGAGATCAGTAAATAGAACTTTTTCTTTATAACTTGTTATGGTATCATGACATTTTTTGCCTACCTGGGGCCTATTCCAGATACTAAGCTGTTAGAAATTAGAACAGGATTACTRATAGATCATTCCTTCTATATTGTAGCTTTAAGTTCTGATTATGTAAACTTGTGTATAATTTTTTTTCATTTTAKTTTAAAATATCCTGTGAGTAGCTTCCCTACTTGAGTTGTAAGACTAATATGGACATTTTTCATGATGCTTAATTACATTGCATGTTCCTTCTTTTCCTGGGTGAGAGTACTTTCCAAATATTTATACAAGCCATGTTTATTTTCTTTCAGTTGAGTTGGCAATGATCATGGACCGTTTGTAYGGTGGTGTCTGCTATGCTGGCATTGATACGGACCCAGAGCTGAAGTACCCCAAAGGTGCTGGCCGTGTGGCGTTCTCCAATCAGCAGAGTTACATCGCAGCCATCAGTGCACGTTTTGTGCAGCTTCAACACAATGACATTGACAAACGGGTAAGCAACCACTAAGGGTGGAGTTGCTATGGGAAAGAAATGAAGATTGTTCTAYGAGTCTCTGGGAAGAAAAGCACCTGGTGGTCATAAGTAGCAGCTCTACCTTGCATGGCATTGCTCTGTGAGTCCATCTAGGCTGCCTAAGAAAGAAAGCCCTCTTTCAGTTTGAGGTGTTAATGGACCTTAAACTTCACCTATCCCTGGTGATGCTACACTTAGTCTGCAGAATTTAGCACACAAGACCGGTGCTGTTCAAAGACGTGTTAACAGTGGGCTAACAAAGGCTAAGAACTGATGATATGTATGATCTTTATAATGATCTTAAACAGGCTTGGATTGACATTTGTATGTTAAGGAATATACATAAAATTCTGAACTTCTAATTTTTTTTTAAATTACATCACACATAGTTGCAATTTTTTGAACCTAATAGCTGCTGTCTCCCTTCAGTCTCTTCTTTAACTCCCTATAGTTTCATTGCTTATGAAATATATGTACATGTATTATCTGCCATTTTGCTCACTGATGTTACCTGCCTGGTCTCTGGAGATATTGAGTATGTTCCTGTGATCTGAAGAGGGGAAGTGATAGAGTTGGGATGTTCCTTTGGTTTGGCAGACAGGTATGGTGTTTAAATCCCTTAAATTCAACCTCTATCCCTATTTGGAAACTTGGGGGAATGGAAAGTGGTAGGAGCTAATTTGGGACCTATCTTACTAGATGTAAAGAGTAAATAGCAGACTAAGGATCTTCTTGAGGCATGCACTGGACTAGAATTAGCAAAGTAGTACATATGTCCTAGTATGAAGTTTCACCTATACTCTGTACAGTCATCTATGGCTCATTTTGTATAACAAACAAATTTATTAGGAGGTGAAAATTTAGTTGGTGGTGGATTTTTCCTATTCAGCAAGATGATGATTGTGTGTGTGTGTGTGTTTTGCTGGGAATCAAATCCAGGGCTTTGTGCATGCAAGGCAAGCACTCTACCAACTGAACTATATTCCCAATCATTTATATATAKAGAGAGAGGGGCGGGGACCATTATTTTATTTATTTATTTATATGTGGTGCTGAGAATCAAACCCAGTGCCTCACACATGCCAGGCAAGCACTGAGCCACTACCCCATCCATCAAGATTATGTTTTTGTTTAGACATGTATCTGATGGAATTACAAAGGGCTATGCTTAGAATAACATTCTATGGGCTCCTTAAGAGTAAGGGGTAGTGGGACTGGGGTTGTGGCTCAATGGTAGAGTGCTTGCCTAGCACATGTGAGGCACTGTGTTTGATCCTCAGCACCACATAAAAATAAATTTAAAGAAAGGTATTGTGTTCATCTACAATTAAAAAGAAAAAAAAGTAAGTGGTAGTAAGTAAAGCCCAGTGGTGCACACCTATAATTCCAGTGTACTTCAGAGGCTGAGGCAGGAGGATCTCAAGTTCAAAGCCAGCCTCGGTAACTTAGCCAGACCCTGTCTCAAAATGGTATTTTTTAGAAAAATTAAAATAAAGGAGTAAGTTGTAGTGATTTGTTTGTTTTCTAACTAAAATGAATCAATTATTTTCAGAATTTTCAAATGCTTTTTGAATTAATGAAGAGTCAGATAGGTAATAATGATTCAACTCCATTCCTGGTTTTCAAGTATCCAAAGCAACCCAAACTTCCTCTTTTATAATAGCAATCCCCCTGCTAGACTGTAAGCTCCACAGGAATGGGCATAGTATCTGTCTTATTCTTTCCCTGACCCCCAGTGCTTACCCATTGCTTGATTTGATCTGAGATGCCTGATAAACTTTTCTTAAATTAACATGTGGTGCTGCTTGGAGGGTTTCCTAACTTCTGTTGCTGGTGGACTTGTTCATGCCTGTATATTTGGCAATCTGATATGGCAGATTCTTTACATTGACATTACTATTGCACCTATCACTAAAACCCAAACAAAAAAACTTAACCAGAAGAGCCTTGAGTTATATGAAAGAAGCTTTCTTGGTTCCCCTCTGAAGCTAAAGTCAGTGACTGTATAGGAGGTAGATTCTGGGAATGACAAAAGAGAACCTAGGGGAGGGCTCCATTTCCCTGAGAGTCATCTGAATGGGAGACCTGATGAAAGTGGCAGAGTTCCCTATATTCCCCTTCCTTGCCTCAGGGCCTGGAGGCATGAGCTTTGCTTTCTTGTGCTTTGTCTGTCTTGACGAGTATAGAGAACATTTTCTTTATTATCAGATGTGGAAGCCAGCTTCCATCTTGAGTTGGACCCATTTTTCATTATCCATTTATAAACATTATACTCTCTTCCACTAAACTATTATTCTGTTCTGTTGTGTTTTTATTGAATACACTCAACACAATATTTTGTTGTCCTTGGCATTTTGAGCCTCTTTTAACTTTATATGTACACTTTAGGTTCATTAATAGTTTTATTTTTATTCATCTTTCTGCCAAAGCTTTAATTTGAACTTTCCAGAGAGTTTCTGTCATATATACCAAGCACATTAGTACTTCCTTCAGTAATGCCATTTTTCTTTCTCAGAAAAAATAATTGTCTGCTCATGATGGTCAACAGAGAATTTTTGTCATTAAGCATATCTTTATTTCTGAATAACCCTTCCAGATTTTTAGCAACAGTCATAATGAAGATTCTGAAATATTGTATGTGTCAAGGGCCAGTGTCCACCTATACCTACACACTCTTTTATTTGCTATTGAAAATTCCTGTTATTCTCTCCTTCCTTCACCTGTGACCCTGGAGTTGCCTTTAAGCCAAGACCATGGCTATTTTAAATAGCGTAAACATTTATAACCTTTCTACTCAAAGAAGCCCTCTTTGATCTCTGCAACATTATAAATGGAGATTCAGTGGAATCTGAATTTTTTTTTTTACTATCCCTGGCATTTTAAGGGTTTTGTTTGCAGTCCTATCCCTTTTACTCTTTCCCAGAGAAGAGTAGGTGAGACTACCTCTGTGCAGCAATGCCTAACCATCAGGCCAGACAATTCATTTAAGTGTCTGGAACCATAGAAGTCGTAGGCTATCTGAGTTGTGTGCTCTCAGGTTGCACCTTTCCTGTATAAACAGTGGAAGGTACATGCAAAAGAAATTGACTGGTATATTTTCTCTACTTCTTTTGTGTCTAACCAACTTTTTTTCAAAAGAGACATCTTTTTTTGAGAATTTATTTATTTATTATTGTTGCCATACTCTTAGATGGAGTAGTTTATAGGGAAAATGCAACCTATATAGACTTGATTTCTTTGTACAATCTTAGAGACTTTTGTGTGAATACAAAATAATATGTTTTTAAAAATTCTTTTTTAAAAATTATTTATTCTAATTTGTTTTCATGACAGCAGAATGTATTTCAATTCATAGTACACATGTAGAGCACAATTTTTCATGTCTTTGGTTGTACACAGARTAGAGTCTCAACATTTGTGTCTTTATACATGTACTTAGGGTAATGATGTCCATCTCATTCCACCATGTTTCCTACCTTCATGCCCCCTCCCTTTTGTCCTATCCAAAGTTCCTCCATTCCTCCCATGCCCTCACCCCCACACCCCCACTATAGATTAGCATCCATATATTAGAGAAAACATTCGGCCTTTGGTTTATGGGGATTGGCTACTTCAATTAGCATGATATTCTCCAACTTCATCCAATTACCTGCAAATGCCCTGATTTTATTCTCTTTTAAATGCTGAATAATATTCCATTGTGTATATATACCACATTTTCTTTATCCATTCATGTGTTGAAGGGCACCTAGGTTGGTTCCATAGTTCAGCTATTGTAAGTTGAGCTGCTATAAACATTGATGTGGCTGTGTCCCTGTAATATGCTGTTTTTAAGTTCTTTGGGTACTGAGGAATGGGATAGCTGGGTCAAATGGTGGTTTCATTCCAAGTTTTCCAAGGAATCTCCATATTGCTTTCCAGATTGTTTGCACCAATTTGCAGTYCCACCAGCAATGTATGAGTGCCTCTTTCTCCACATCTTTGCCAACACTTATTGTTGTTTATATTCTTTTTTTTAAAATATGTATTTATTTATTTATTAGTTTTCGGCGGACACAACATCTTTGTATGTATGTGGTGCTGAGGATCGAACCCAGGCCGCATGCGTGCCAGGCGAGCGCGCTACCGCTTGAGCCACATCCCCAGCCCTATATTCTTTTTTTAAAAAAAAAAATTATTTTTTAGTTGTAGTTTGACACAATACCTTTGTTTCACTTATTTATTTTTATGTGTTGCTGAGGATCAAACCCAGGGTCTCACATTTGCGAGGCGAGCGCTCTACCGCTGAGCCACAACCCAGCCCCTGTTTATATTCTTAATAGCTGCCATTCTTACTGGAGTGAGATGAGATTTTTGAGTAGTTTTGATTTGCATTTCTCTGATTGCTAGAGATGTTGAACATTTTTCATATATTTGTTGATCAGTTGTATATCTTCTTCTGAGAAGTGTCTGTTCAGTTCCTTGGCCCATTTGTTGATTGGGTTATTTGGGTTTTTTGGTGTTAAGTTTTTTGAGTTCTTGATATATCCTAGAGATTAGTGCTGTATCTGATGTGCATGTAGTAAAAATTCGCTCCYATTCTGTAGGCTCTCTTTACCTCATTGATTGTTTCTTTTGCTGAGAAGAAACTTTTCAGTTTGAATCCATCCCATTTATTGATCCTTGATTTTATTTCTTGTGCTATAGGAATCATGTTAAATCAGTCAGGGCCTAATCTGAAATGATGAGCCTCCTTTTTCTTCTACTAGGCTCAGGATCTCTGGTTTATTTATTTATTTATTTATTTATTTATTTATTT